AAAATAAAATTTTGCTAAAAATTAAATAGTAAATTATAAAAAATATAAAAAAATTGGATTCGCTAAGTTTGAGAATGAAAAAAAATTATAAAAAAATAATAAAAATTATAAAAAAATTATAATAAAATTACAAAAAAAAAAAACCTTTAACCATATAAAATACATCATCTTACAGTTTGTTAAACATATTTTTTTATACATATTTCTAACACATCATTTTTTATAAATCTAAATATAAAAGTTTCAACAGTTATATAAGTTTAAAAAAAAAAGAAAAATGATATTTAAGAAAAGACTTTTTACTAAGATTTATAATTGTATATATATATGTATATGTTTTTTTTTTTTAATATAATTAAATGGAATTTAAAAAAAAAATAATAATGGAATTATTTTTTAAGTTTTTTTTATCACTTTTATAAACTAAAATATTAAAAAAAAAGCTTTTAATAAATTCTTGAAATTTATAGAAATTTTGTTGTTTTATATTGTTTAACATTTAAATTTATAGTTTTTTATTTTTATATAGAAAAAGACGTGTCTATTAAGAAATTCGTTAGTTTAGTTGTTGTTTTTTTTTATATAATGGACAGATTTAATAGTTTTTTTTTTTTTTGTTTAAATTTTATATACTTAAATTATGTTTTTTTACTAGAATTCGTTATTATTTTTGTTTGTTTTGTTTTTAATTATTATACTTAATTTAAATATACTTTATACATATATAAAAGTGGAAAATAATGTTTTTTTTCTTGCAAGTACATAAAGAGAATATATTTTCTTTTTATTATTTTATAAATAAATTAGAAATTAAATTTTTTTTATAGAATTTATATAAATTTCTTTACTTTTATTTATTTATTTTAATAAAGTTTTTATTATTAAACAAAAAAAAAATTAAATAATTAACACCACTCAACTTTTAGGTTTTATAAAAGAAATATTATTATATTTTTATATAAACAGTTTAAACTTTAAAATTTGAGACAACAAAACTTTATCGGTTAAATAATAGGCCAATATTATTTAAAAATGGTCCTTTGCTTTTAAACTTTTTTAATATTTTTATATTATTATTAATATTATATTTTATTTTAATATTTATATGTAAGTATTATGGTTGAGTAGTGTTTGATTTATTATTTATTAGGGAAAATTTTAAAGTTTTGTTTTTATATATATATAAGACATTTATTTTTTATTTTAATGAATTTTCGTTTTTTTTATAAGTTTAAGAAAATATTTAAAAAAAATCTGGCTAAGTTGTAGTAAAAATATTTGTTTTTTTTTAATAAAGGGAGAGTTAGAGAAAGTTTTAGAGGAGTTTTAGAGTGTAAGAGTTTTTTCGTTTTGTTTTTTTAATTAACTCTTAATATTTTGCTTTTATAATTTGTGAAAAATATTTGAGTTTGTTTACAGTATTACAGAGAATAGTATAATTATAATTAAAAAGGGATTTAATTCGTTATTTAAGAGTTTTCATAACATTTTAAATAATAACAGTTGCTAATTGTGACAACAAGTCGATGAGAACAAATGGTCTTAAAGTTATTCCAAATTCGAGATTCTTTATCGTTCAAAATTTGCATATAAACTCGATTGAATCCTATAGGATAAAAAGGTTTAATCTTAATCTTGGTTTGTCTTAATAAATTGAAAGTGTTAGTTTTAGATTAGGCTTACTGTGATCCCAAATATATAAATTTGTCTCAAAAGCAAAATTTTTATAGAAACTTTATAAATTTCCATAGAAATGTTTTCATCGAACACAAAGTTTCTGCTCTAGGCATAAATCTTAATAGAAATTTGCCTCTTTGGATAAAAATTCTATAGAAATTCTATATCAAGACAAAAATTATAAAAGAAATTTATCTCAAGATATAATTTTTTCTAGAAATTTATCTCAAGACAAAAATTTTTAAAGAAATTTCTATCAAGACAAAATTTTGTCTAGAAAGTTATCACTAAATACAAATTTTTACACAAATTTCTGTAAAAATAAAAATTTCTCTAGAAATTCATCATAGAATTTAATTTTTTTCAGAAATTGATCTTAAGACATAAATTTCAGGCGAAATTTCTATAGAAATTTATGTCAAGACAAACATATTTAAAGAAAATTGTCTTAAGACAAAAAACTTTATAGAAATTTGTCTTAATGGAAACATTTTATTGGAACGTGTCACAAAACGATCAAATTTCTAATAAACTTAATATCAACACAAGAATTTTTATAGAAATTATCTTAAGACATAAATTTCAGGCGAAATATCTACAGAAATTTATGTCAAGACAAACATATTTAAAGAGAATTGTCTTAAAACAAAAAACTTTATAGAAATTTGTCTTAACGGAAACATTTTATTGGAACGTGTCACAAGGCGATCAGATTTCTAATGATGTTAATATCAAGACAACAATTTTTAAAGAAATTTGCCATCAGACATATATTTTTATAGAAATTTCTCTAGAAATTAATCTCGAAACAAAAATTGTTTAAAGAAATTTCTATTAAGACAATATTTTTAAAGAAATTAATGTCGAAATTATTAAAAAATTAGCAAATTTTCTAAAAATTTATCTCAAGATAAAAATTTCTTTAGAAATTTGTCACAAAACTTAAATTTCTATAGATATCTGTCTCGAGATTTACATTTTATATTGAAATTTGTCTTAAGCTATGTGTTTGTACAGGAAATTATGTTAAGACATACAGCATTTTGTATCAAGACATTATTTGTAGAGAAATTTGCTTCAAAACATCAATTTCTATAAAAGTTTTGACTCAAAACAAAAATTTTTATAGAAATTTCTTTTGTTCTATAGAAATTTTTAAAAGATTTTATCTGCGGACATACATTTGTAAAGAAAACTGTTGTAAAATATACATAAATTTGTGTCAAGACATAAATTTGTGCTGAAATTTTTGTCAAGACATAAACTTATTCAAAATTTGTGTAGAGTTATCAAATTTATAAAAATTTCTATAAATGTAAAAGAATTTTCAAAGAAAACTGTTGTAGTATGTATATAAATTTGTATCGAGACATAAATTAATGCTGAAATTTGTGTCAAGACATAAACTAATGCAGACATTTGCTTATCAAATTTATAAAAATTTCTATAGATGTTTAAAAAAATTTGTGTCAAGACATATATTTTTATAGAAATTTGTCTCAAGATAAAAAATTTTATAGAAATTTGTTTTAAGAGATGACTTTCATAAGAAATTTATCTTAAGACATACAAAATTTTTTGTCAAAACATAAATTTATGTAGATATTTGTATCGAGTTAGCAAATTTATAAAAATTTCTATAGAATTCCAAAGAAATTTGTGTCAATTTTTATAGAAATTTCTCTTAAGATAAAAATTTCTATAGAAATTAGCTTTAAGACATAAATTTCTATAAAAGTTTTGAAACAAAACAAAAATTTTTATAGAAATTTGTTTTGTTCTATAGAAAATTATATCAAGACAAAATTTTTAAAGAAAACTGTTTTAAAATATATATAAATTTGTGTCAAGACATAAATTTATGCTGAAATTTGTGTCAAGACATAAATTTATGCAGAAATTTTTGTCGAGTTATTAATTTTATAAAAATTTCCATAGATGTTTAAAGAAATTTGTGTCAAGACATATATTTTTATAGAAATTTGTCTTAAGATAAAAATTTCTATAGAAATTTGTTTTAAGACATGACTTTCTGTCAAAATTTGTCGAAATTTGTTTCAAGTCTTAAATTTTTCAAACCAAAAACATGTTAAAGAAATTTCTGTTAAGATAAATTGAAATTTGTGTTATGATACATTTTTTTTTTATTAAAATTTATGTCATGACAAAAATTTCTTTAGAAAAATGTATATTTTTATATAAATTTCTTAAAAAATTTGACTCATGACATGAATTTCTTAAGAAATTTTTACATAAGACATAAAAAATGTTCTGTCAAGACATTATTTTTAGAGAAATTTGTTTCAAGACATAAATCTCTTAAAACATTTATCTCAAGGCAAGAATTTTTATAAAAATTTGTTTAAAAACATAAAATTTCCAAGAAAATGTGTTCCATAACATACATTTCTATACAAATTTGATACAAGACATAAACTAATATAAAAATATTTATCAAGACATAAGATCAAGGTTCTAGAGCAAGCTCCTAGTAAAATTTTTTTTCACTAAGAAGAGAAATTATATTTAAATTTAACAATATTCATATAATTTCCTTTCCCGATCCTAGTTTTCAAAACTAATTTTAATTTTTTGAAAACTTAACATTTAACAACCAATCTTTTGGCCGCTTGTTCTTCTTGCTACATTCTTTCAGCAACTGTAGTTTAATATTTAAAACTTAAAATTAGGATCTCATTTTGTTATAATGTTTTTTTATCATTTAATTTGGGGCAGGATTTTCATTATAAAATTTTAAAATATATGTATATTTTTGTTTGTTTGTTTAAGCCTCTTACAACAAATAAAAGCAAATATCTATATAAATAACGCAATATTTATGTTTTTATGTATAATATTTAAGAGAAAAAACAAGCAATTAAATATGTAGTAAATAAAAAAACATATAGCAAAATATTCTTTAAACATAAAAAACGTTTGTAGGTAATAAAATCAATAATAAAGAAAAAAAAAAAAATACTGTAGATTTATATTTTGCAATTGAAACACTTATTCTGGAATGTTTTAGTTTTTCACTAAGGTAGTCGCGTATTATGTATGTATGTTTGTTTGTTTTAAAGTTTATATGTATGTAAATATGTGTGTATGTATATGTAAGATACTGAAACCCTTGATTTTTTTTCCTTTCGATTAAATTAAATAAACTTAAACCCCAATACATTGTAGTGTATATATGTATATATATAGATAGTTAGTATATTCAATACGTTTTTCTTACGAGATCTCTAATCAAGAATAATCTCTTTTGAAAACTCTAGGTTTGTTGTTGTCGTAAAATTTTCTTTTCTTTTTCGTTTTTTAAAAAAAAAAAAGAAAATCGCTGCAGTTTTATTGGATCCCAAATATATAAATTCGTTTTTAGAAACTTAACGCATAAACATTTTAACTAATGTGGCAAAGAGGAAAGTGAAGAATAAGAATGAAACCATAAAAATTACAGCCTTTTCTTGATCCGAGAAACGTTTACGATTGGAATAGACCGAACTGAGTTTGGTAACGAAACGTCTTAAAGCACCGGCATTTTGATTGTGAGCCCCACCGCCATGATGATGACCCAAAACATGTTGATGATGGCTGATGGCAGCCGTTGCAGCTTGCAGTAGAATGGGATTGTTGGCAAACAATTGATTGGCGCTGGCAGCCAGCAGAGAGGCAGCCGATTGTGGATTATTGGAACTGTTACTGCTGCCGCTTGTACTCGAGGCTGTGGCATTAAGTTGATTAGCGACATCGGGAAAACCATGATGATGATGGTGGTGATGATGATTGGGATCATCACAACCGGCAAAACTAGCCGCCAGTTCACTGGCCATACTGCCAATGGGTATAAAACCGATAGCATTGCTGCCAATCAATAGCGTATTGTTGCTCGGTGTATTATTGGCATTGGAATTCTGATTCTTACTACTACTGCTGTTTGAACTGCTACTCGAACTGCCAGCCGAAGCAGAGACGGAACGATGATGAAGATTTGTATTGGAATTTGAATCATTGCTACCACCGCCGTTACTATTATTATGATGGCCACTGTGTCTACTATTGTGATGGGAATGTAGGGGATTGTGATGATGACTATGTCCTCCCATATGGGAATGATGCGTATGGTGATGTGAATGACCATGACATGAGCCGGCGGCATGGTTAGCACTGCCAGAGGCTGCATTAAGGCCGGCAAACATTTGAGCTGCTGCATTGCCCAAGAGATTACCATCAATATCGTCTAGTGAAGGTATGAGTGGCACTTGATGACGGAATGGTGGTGTATATGCACCCAATAAATCTTCTCCATTGTTCGTAACACGAATGGGACACACGCGAAATTGGTATAGGCCACCTGGTTCTAAGTTTTCGATTGTAAATTTGGTCTCACTGCCACGGTATATCTGAAAAGTGGATGGAAAGTTTTTAAAATTATTTCAAAATCTTTAAGAATTTCGATTTTTTTTTTCAAAAATGTTAATTTTTGAAATCAATTTAAAATTTTTTTCAAATTTTCCAACACTTACCTTTTTAAATTCACCATCTTTGCCAATGGCATACTGCAGCATATATTCCACACGATCTGAGAAGGAATTCTTTGAATGTTGCCATTCCAGTGTCAGAGGCACACCCAACATTAGATTACCCAAACCGGTTAGAAAACTGGGAGTTTCTGGTAGCAAACCGGATGGTATTATGCCACCACCCGACGAAGAGCTGGATGGCGAACTACCACTATTTGCATTAGCAGACGATGTAGACGCAGAGGAGGCAGCTGATGGTAAATTTTGAGCAATACGAGGAGCTTTAATGCTATTCGGCAGACAGGCCGAGGTAGAGAATACAAATTCTTCTGAATACTCGCCTACGCCAGCACGATCGTTGCCGGCACAAATGCGGAATGTATAAGCTGTGCGTTCCTGCAGCTTATTGACTTTGCACATGCAATTGGTGCCAGAGTATACCACTTGGAATTCTTTAGCTCTTTGGACAAACATTTCTACATAGAATTTGGTAAAGTCTAAATTTTTGCCATCGCCCCATTTTAGTTTGATGAAATTATGACCCACACCAGAGCATTCCAATTTGGGCGGCGTTGGAGGTGAGGGCAGTGTAGTCAATTTGGCATAGAGAGAGTAGGGACCAGAGCCAATGGCATTAATGGCCTGTACACGGAATTTATAGGAAGTTTCTGGTTGTAAATTGGTGACGGTGTACTCACAGGCATTGTCCGAAGTCATGATGGTGCGCTCAGCATATTCGATGGTATAGTTGGTAATTTCTGAACCGTTGCATTCGGGAGAGGACCAACGTAATGTTGCATCGTTTGAAGTAAATTCCAAGTCTTTGATTTGAGGAGCAGATGGCACGGCGGCTGGCGTTTGGCAATTTACCAACGGTGACCATTTACTAACACCCGCCATATTGCAGGCATTAACACGGAAATAGTAATAAGTAAAAGGCATTAGATTACGTATATCCGCACTGGTCTGTAGACCCTGATAGCAAGTGTGAAATGCGGAGGAGGGAGGAGGTTGTGGTGTACTTGACTCGCTGTCATTTGACACGTTTGAGGCTGTGGCACTTTCTAGTCTATATTCTGCAATGGGGGCTCCTCCTTTATTCGCTGGTTCTTGCCAGGAAACATGTAATTGTGTAGCTGATTTGATGATGACCTTTAAAGATTCTGGGCAATTGGGAGCGGCGGCAGCGGAACTAAATTTAAACCAAGGAGACCAAGCTCCTGCTCCTATGCGATTAATAGCTCTCACTTGCACCTCATATTGATTGCCCGGCTGCAGATCTTTAATAACGCAATAGGCATCTTTGCCACGGTAAACACTGCGTGGTGTTTCCTGTTCCGAGCATTTACGCAATTGCAATTCAAATTCTAAAATGGGAGCACCACCATTATATTCCGGCTTATCGAGTCTTAAGACCGCAGCATAAGGCCCGGGCGGATTGTCATAGTAGGGTGAAGGTGGAGCAGCAGGTACTACAGCTTCAGAGGTAATGTGACTGACCTCCGAATAAGGGCTTAAGCCACCTGGTCCCTCGCAGGAAGCTCTCAATTGATAGGTAGTGCCAGGTTGTAAACGATCGCAAGAGGCCTCACAGTCAACACCTGTATATATACGATCGAACTTTTGACCGCCTGCATTAATTTCCAAATAATAACGTTGTATCTCAGCACCACCATTGTCCGTAGGCGGTTCCCAACGCACACGAAAGTGAGTACCATGAATTTTTCCCTTTGCATAAGGTTTTCCTGGACGTCCTGGACGTTCTGGTGCTGTCTTATAGGCCACCTCATTTGACCAAGCAGAGGCACCAGCTTCATTTTCAGCTCTTAAACGGAAATAGTATAAGGTGGCGCGGCGTAACTGACAACATTCGTATGAGCAGTCTTGACCATTGTACATATTTAAATAGCCATGGCCAGAGCCACGATCTAGCATTTGTAGGACATAAATACAAGTAGCACCATCTGACTGACGTCTTTCCCAAACCAGACGCAATGATGAAGAATTAAATGCTTGCAGAGTAGGAGGTTTTGGAGCTGAAGGAGGATTGCCCTGGGTACTAAAGGTACACACAGGCGAATAGGCCGAAGGTCCTACCTCATTTACAGCTGCCAAACGAAAATTGTAAATGGTTGAGGGTTGTAATTTGGTCATTATGTATTGTCTGCCTTTAGTCTTAACAGCTTCTACAAATTTACAAGCGGCCTCATTAACCACACGTGCCCCAGTCTTACCCTCATCATATTCCAAAAGATAATGCTGTATCGAAGAACCATTGCATAAGGGATTATTCCAACGTAAATGCAATGAATTCTTGGTGCACATTACCATACGAGGCGCTGCTGGACGATCTGGTTCACATGCTGGCGTTGTAAATTCTGTAGGCTCTGAGGCTGTACCATGTAAATGTTCATAGTGCACCTGTAAACGTACCACATACTCTTGGCCTGGCTTTAAATCTTGTACAATGCAATCATACGAGGAACCTTTATACAGACTTTTATATTTACATTCTTTTGCACGATCGCTTAGGAGGACATTGTAACGCAACTCACGCATATTTATCAACTGCAATGCGGATTCACTAATACATTGTGGTGCCTCCCAGACAATTTTGGCTGAACGTGATGTTATGTCAGTTACTTCAGGCTTTTGTATAGTCGATAATTGTTCAACTATTGAAGCCTGATAATCTTCTTCTTCATCACCGTCAGCACCATTAACACCTAAAGATAAATTATCATCACCTTCTTCAGAGGAGGCAACTGAAGAGGCTCCCTGTCTGTTATTATAATTAGAAACATTACCATTACGTTGCTGTTGTGGCTGCTGTTGTTGTTGTTGTTGATGTGTTTGTTGCTGTTGTTTGCGTTGATGATGATTGTTGTTGTTATTATGTTGCTGCTGTTGTTGTTGTTGTGACCTTAAAGATCCATTATTATTAGTATTGTGACCATTCATTTGTGGCTCTTGGCGACGGGGTGACGGAGAATGTGCTGGCGATGAAACAGCAGAACCTTTAAAAGTTAATTAATATTGATTATTCATAATATATTTGTGAGTAATAAAATCAATGTATGTGGTAAATTTAAATAAGAGTGATATAAAATATAGAGTATATATAATCAATTTAAAATATATTCAATAAATATCTAAAAACTTACGTTGCTTGTCCAGTTTTCTTAACAATTTGGTATGCTGTCTCTGAGTTCTTTCATCCTTGTGATAGTTATTACTAGGTGGCGATGGTGAATGATTGGCGGAATGTGATGCTGGTGAATGTTGCTGCTGTTGCTGAGAAGTATTTCCCACTGATGACGTCTGCTGCTGTTGAGGTTGTGGTGTACCGGCTTGAGGCGGTGGTGGCATATGACCATGAGGTCCTACCTGATAAGGCCCAGGACCTTGACCGCCAGCTCCCGGAGGAAAACCACCCGGTATAGGTGTATAAAAGTGTGAAGTACCATTAGTTGTTAGCTAGAAATATAAGAAAAATTTAAGAAATTATTTTAGGTTTTCAAAAAGAATAATATAAATTACTTTAACTAATACTGGTGCTCCGGAGGAAACTTTTAAATGTATACATTTCGGAGGATTATCTTTATTTTCCATTATTTATTAATAACTAAAATGCTGACGTGTGCAGCTGTTTTAAAAAATATTTAGAACGATTCTATTGTTTCGTGTGGTTTTAACAAATAACTTTTGCAAAATGAAATATGTCCACGTATTTTGTTGTTTTTTTGTTTCTATCTTAAACTTTCTTATCAATAACTTGTTTTATTGTTTTATTTTTAAAAAAGCCCGAAATGTTTTGTTAATATTGATTTTTTTCATCTGTTAATGATAATTAAATAAAAATGTAAACAAATACTTCTTCTTCGGCGAATGCTACTAAATGATCATTCACCACAAACTAATAGCACATTTGAGCGTAACAAAAAGAAGTTATTTTTGCAATTGGCACCACAACTACTAGCGACAATGAGTTTAATAACATATTTTTTGGATAACGAAGAACACGATATTTAGCCAAATCTGGTGTGATTTTCTCCATCACATCTGGGATTAGTGTCCTGAATTTTGAAAAAAACACAATTTTTGACACTCTATAGGCGTTTTAACAGCGCCAAGACAACAAGACAACTCATCTGAAAGTCCTTGCTGCCATCTTTAAAATCTAACATTTCTATTTGCTTCTACGTATAACGGATTTGCCTTTAAATATAACGAAATTATTGTACAACAAGTGCTCTCTGTGCAACAAAACACTATATATTAGGGTTCTATAGTTGAAACGAAAAGTCGACTTTTTGCATTTCGACTTTTTTCGACTTTTTTCATTTAAATAAAACTCGTCTTTTAGACTTTTCGACTATAAATATTTTATAAATAGTCGACTTTTCGACTTTTTCCGACTTTTCGACTTTTTTCGACTTTTTTCGACTTTTTCGACTTTTCGACTTTTTTCGACTTTTCGATTTTTTCGACTATTTGACTATTTTCGACTTCTTTCTACTTTTTTCCGACTATTTTTTGACTTTTTTCGAGTTTTTCCGACTATTTTAGAGTTTTTGACTTTTTTTCCACTTTTTTAAAATTTTTGACTATTTTTGACTTGTTTCTACAATTTTCGATTTTTCGACTTTTTCCGACTTTTCGACTTTTTTCGACTTATCGACTTTTTTCGACTTTTCGACTTTTTCGACTTTTATTTACAAAGTCGACTTTTCGACTTTTTTCACAGACGATAGTCGAGTTATCGACTTTTTTGGAACAAAATAGTCGACTTCGACTTTTCGACTTTTTTCGACAAAAAGTCGATTGTTCGATTATTCGAAAGTCGATTTATAGAACCCTACTATGTATGTAATAGGAACAAAAAATTTGGCATCACTTACTAACATTAGTGTAGTACAAAATAATATAAACAATAAATAATATTGAATAATTGGTATTTGAATGTGTTTCGTATATGGTAAGTATGAGTGAATACTGTTACTTACAAGTATATTTAAAATTAATGGCTTTTTAAAGATTTTAAGCCTCATATTTTTTTATTTTTTTTTGGCTCAAAATGGTTTCCTACGAATGTCAAGCTAACAATTAATAAAATGATATATGAGGAAACAAAACTGCAAAACAACTATCACTACTTGCAGTACAATAAACTGCAGAAATGTGCATATGAATGGTAGATATGAACATTAGGGTGGTTCCGTTTGCATGGAGAAGATAAAAGATACTGAAATTTCCACCGAAAATGAAAGCTAGTTTCGTTTCTAAATATTACTTTCCTAAGGTCAATATTTGTTGATCTAGGTTAAAGGATCAAAAGATCTTTTTTTTTCAAACTTTTGAGCGAGTTCAAAAATATTGAAAACTCACCAAATATTGTATCAAGGACAAAGGGTATCTTAGAAAGAACCATGTTTTCTTTTTCGATAGCAACATCACTACTATATTTTTACTCCATATAAACAGGGCCAACCTAATGTACATATAAATAAATAAATAAATGAAAGAGTTTCAATAAAACATTATATAATTTTCATGATGACAGCTAACATATTGGCTTTTAAAAAAATCCATTGTAGAGTTTATACGACAAGCTCAGCCATTAAGACAACAACTTTTTAAAAATCTCCATAAAGTACTTATGAGGAAAAATATGAATGTTTCCAAATATTTATTATGTGATTTGGTATTTTTGGGAGACTGGGGATTATTATTTTTATTATTATTGCTTTTTCCATTGTTATTTAGGAGTTAGTTATAGTTGTACATACTAAAATTCATAAATATAATTCATACGATTATTATTATGTACATATGCATGTATGTATACATGTATATATAAATGTATTTGTATGTAGAGACAATAAACATTTGAGACACAATTCTTAAAGTTTCTGTATATGAATTGTTATACAATAAATTGAAAATTGCATATAAAGGCGCCATTAAAATGCGGCATAAAATTTTTACAGATTTTGGTTGTTTTTTTACTGTTTCTTTTTTTTTTCTTTTTTTTGTGTTGGATTGTTAAAAATTATAGATTGCTGCAGATATTTGTAATACATTTGTATTGTATCCAGTGGAAAGAAAGACGTTAGTTATTCTTCAATGGAAAGATAATGGCCACCAAGCTTTTTATTTTATATTTAAACATAAATTTTTGGTCTAGAATAATTTCAAATAATAAAAAAAAAAACGTAGCATCAAATATGAGAAAAAAAGAACTGCTAACAAAAAAGACAACTCAATGCCAATTTGTGCTTATATATTTTTATTTATTTTTTTTCTTTGAATTATGTTAAGTTTCTTGATTTTTTTTTCTTATTGCTTAACGAAAAACCATATCATGTTGCCAATTTTAAATTAAGCCCTGCCTCTGTTTTTTTTAAAGGTTATACAAAATTTTCAAAATTTATTCTCGGTTAAATTGTTTATAAAACAAGTTTATTTTGTAAGTTTAGAATAAGATTTAAATTGCAACTTAAAAATAAAACTCAATTTATATTTACGATTAACCTCAAGGCCGTTTTGTGTTCTTAAAACAAACAAGTAAATGTGATAGATATATTCGTCTGTAACGAATCTTTGTTACTTAGCACTAAATTTTTGTCAAAATTGTTTTCATACATTTTGATTGGTAATGGTTTCATCCATTACAACAAAGTATAGGAACTAGTCTATTTATCTATCTGTCTATCTATCTATCTATCTATCTATCTATCTATCTATCTATCTATCTATCTATCTATCTATCTATCTATCTATCTATCTATCTATCTATCTATCTATCTATCTATCTATCTATCTATCTATCTATCTATCTATCTATCTATCTATCTATCTATCTATCTATCTATCTATCTATCTATCTATCTATCTATCTATCTATCTATCTATCTATCTATCTATCTATCTATCTATCTATCTATCTATCTATCTATCTATCTATCTATCTATCTATCTATCTATCTATCTATCTATCTATCTATCTATCTATCTATCTATCTATCTATCTATCTATCTATCTATCTATCTATCTATCTATCTATCTATCTATCTATCTATCTATCTATCTATCTATCTCTCTATCTATCTATCTATCTATCTATCTATCTATCTATCTATCTATCTATCTATCTATCTATCTATCTGTCTATCTATCTATCTATCTATCTATCTATCTATCTATCTATCTATCTATCTATCTATCTATCTATCTATCTATCTATCTATCTATCTATCTATCTATCTATCTATCTATCTATCTATCTATCTATCTATCTATCTATCTATCTATCTATCTATATACCTAAGTGTAGAATAGTGTAGAATAGCTCGATTTTGAACAAGTTCCACGAATGTATAACTTTATGTTTTCTAAGAACGATAATTCGTTACGTTACAAACTGAAAGATAAAATTAAAACACTACTCAATATTTTGGTTTTGAATATATACGAAATGACCAAGAAACACTTTTTAAGTATCTACATTGACGTATGTATAATTAAATATCATGGAAAAAAACAACTTGTTTGTATTATAATCATGTAATTTTCAGCTTAACTTCCTTTTAAGCTCCTCCCCTAGCAAATCCCAACCGCAAATGTCCTACATTAACAAGAAGATTTGTAAAAGATTTTTTCTACTTTCGAAAAAGCAACAAAAAGAAACTAAAATGTTGTTTTATAAAAATTACCGGTTAACCAAACAAAAATGCGGGTGCAACAATTTGGCTGACTTTAACTCTATAGGCAAACTTGTAAAAACAAATCTTAAATAAATCTTAAATAACTACAACGACAAAGAGGCGTTTTTGATGGTGCTGCTGCTAGTTTGTTAAATAATTTGTCATACTAAACTTAACTGTTGAAAGTTTGATAAAAAACATAATCAAAGAAAAAAGGATAAATTATGTGAATAGAAAGAGTAGATATAATTAATACTCAGTAATAAACTTAAATCGTTATAAATTAAAAAAGTTTCAATAGGTACATGATAATTAAACTAATTTGACTTTAAATAAAATTGGAAAATTAACTAGCAACAAGAAGAATATATCTTTTTTGAAAAAATCAACGACAACCAACTGTTTATAATTTAATTTCCTTTTTTATAACCCTATTTTTTTTTTTGGTAAATATGCAAGTGATAATACTTTAAAAGCAAATGTTTTGTACATGAAAAGTTGTATATTATATGAATTTTTATAAATTTCAACATGTTTAACAATTTTTTTTATTACATCATACATATTGTTAAATAAAATTAAAAAAAAGAAAATCCACTACACTACACATACACATAAAATAAAAACATCTAATTAGCATACAATGTGATTTTAATGGTTAAAAATATAAGAAAAAAATACTCTACATATCCCCACAACTATAACCAACCCATCTGTGTATAAATCTCTGCAACATTTTGCAGTTATATTTGCCACAAGCTGTAAAAAAACGAGTGAGAGTGTTATATTCGGCAGTACCGAATTTATGATAGCCCTGTAACATGTCCTACATTTCAATTCATGTTCAATTCTTGTTCAGTTCTAGTTCAGTTCTAGTTCAGTTCTAGTTCAGTTCTAGTTCAGTTCTAGTTCAGTTCTAGTTCAGTTCTAGTTCAGTTCTAGTTCAGTACTAGTTCAGTTCTAGTTCAGTTCTAGTTCAGTTCTAGTTCAGTTCAGTTCTAGTTCAGTTCTAGTTCAGTTCTAGTTCAGTTCTAGTTCAGTTCTAGTTCAGTTCTAGTTCAGTTCTAGTTCAGTTCTAGTTCAGTTCTAGTTCAGTTCTAGTTCAGTTCTAGTTCAGTTCTAGTTCAGTTCTAGTTCAGTTCTAGTTCAGTT